TTCATGCATGGTACGCCGCTAAATATCCTGGTATGTCCATGCAGTGCTCCTGTCCTAGACCTGCTCAGACGGTTTTAGCTAGACTAAGGACTGGCCACATTAAGAGTTTGACCTTCAATGGAGACGAGAAGGCATATACCCTTTGTCATTGTTCGACCATCGCATCTCCCTCTCATCTCATAGATTGTATTGGTGCCTCTGTGAGGCAACTGTTGAATGAGGGGAGGACCGTTTGATGCAGCATGATCTACTGGACTTGGTTTAGGATTCTAAATCAAGGGGATAAGCAACAACAACAACAACAAGCAATGCTAGTTAAACAATTCAAAGTATAAAAGAAAATTTGTAATTTTTTAATAAAATTTCAATAAGAATATTCTCGAATTTGTATACTGTAAGCAATTTCATAACATTTTTTTTTCAGTTTTTATCTTTTTACTTCGGTTTCAATAATGAATTTCAAACTAAACAAGTGAATAACCTTCAAATTTTAGACATTATGGCGGTAGTGTTTCGATAAACATCAAACTTACACGATTACAAAACATAAATGATGTTTGAAATTCTTATCAAACAAAAATGAATAACATAAGAAAAAAAATAAATAAAAATTTCTTAAAAATTTCACAAATCTTCCTTTATGATTTTATCAAACAAAGTAAATAAAATCATTTGAAATGAACTTGATGATCCATTGTACCTCCTTGTTCGTATAAATAAAAATAAAAATATCGTTTTTCATTCATTGACAAAGATTTATTTATAGATTTACAACACAATAAACACTCGAATTGTCTGATCGAACTCACAGAAGCACAATAATAATTAATTTATCAATCGTAATCGCTTGTTTTTTTTTACATTGTATGGTAATGTATTTATCCTGAAGATTTCTCAGTAATTCACAGTAATTATCAGCAATAGTTTTTCACTTATAAACACACTTCCTTACACATATTAGATTTAAATAAGCATAACGTTATTCAATAACAGTACTTACGAAGGTCATGTGCAACATGGTCACATTAAAAATCTTGAAAACTGTTTAACTTATGTAATATAAATTTTATATAATTTTTATAAAAAAATATTATAATGTCAATTAATAACGGATATGTGATATTATGTTATATATCGATAATGGATAATTTTATATAGTGTAATGGATATTAATCGATAATGAATATGTGATATTATTATATATATTTATATGTGTGATATTTCGTTATATATATTTATATGTATGATATTACGTGATGTTACGTTATATATATTTATATGTGTGATATTAGAGAGTTTTTGCATACCGCATTTTGGACGTCCGTTAGCTTTTTCTGCCTAGCGCGCATGCTCATAGGAAATTGCGCATGCGTATCTGTAATAATGTTTCCTATGAGCATGCGCGCTAGGGAGAAAAAGCTACCGGACGTCCAAAATACGGTATGCAAAAACTCTCTATTATGTTATATGTAGCCTGTACTTTGCAAACACATACAACGAGCTCTACTTTTTATAGGCTGGGGCTGTGGTGTCTCGGGGTTAATTTCCAAACAAAATGAAGAAACAGGGTGTTTACTTTAAGACCAACAGCCACTTAATTACACACAATTTTATCTACAACTATGTACAATAATTAATTATTCTTGGATAGACAAACATCATCTTCATTCTCTCGCTGCGTCCCGCAGCTATCCCGTCGGCCGCCAGTCACACTCCCTTCTCTCCTCTCATCTACGGTGATCTGTTCCCTTCTCCTGAGGTCAAGAGTCAGAATTCAATATTCCCCACATGGTGAAAGATCTGTGCCATCGACACGTAATCGCAATGTGTCGCCGTCTGCTGATTAGCAGACAAACAAATCCTGCATATATACACTCAAGAGCCAAAACATTATGACCACCCCTACATTTTGCAATGAACTCGCCTGGATGACGTGGAAGACACGTGATCAGGTGGAAGCGGTATTTAACTGGTATTAAGTGGTGTTACTAATACATGCCAAGGCGGGTTGAAGCTGTGTTGCGCGCCAAAGGTGGGCCAACTCGTTATTGACAGGTGGTCATAATGTTTTGGCTCTTGAGTGTATGTGATATATATGATATTACGTTAATTTAATAAACGTTTCAATATTTGGTACAATATTTTTAGTAATCAAGGGTAAAAATTGTCAGTCAAAGGGTTTTTACCTATGGCTTCTTGTTTTAACATTCACAACCGTATCTATTTTGGCCTACTCAATTTTGAAATGGAGCTTATTTTTGGCTATAAATATCGTAAAGTTAGTTTGATAGTTATATTGCATCTAGGTTAGCACGTTATTGACAAGGAATCTGATTTTCAAACCTACCACAAATTTACCACTCCCATCCTCTATTTAGATATTGAAGCATTTGATTCAGTTTAAACATTTTTAAAAAAATTTGAAAATAAATAAAATTCTTTTTAAAAAAGATTTTTTATTTCTCATTAAAAAAATTTGAATTTTTTTTTTTAATTTTACATTCAAAATTTTTCATTTCAAAATTTTAATATATATTTTTAATTTTAATTAAAGATAAAAATAATCATTTTTATATTTCTCAAATTTCATTCACATATATATTGTTTCATATTTCATTCACACTGGGTTACAAATTGTTGAATTGGAGGGTCACGAATTCAGTTACTTTAATTCGGAAATCTAATGTGCTAGGCTCCAATTCACTCCGTTCAATTAATATGCTTTGTTTTGTTTTTTTCCTTATATGGTGCTTTGACCTAAATCATTCGTTTACAGAATAGTAGATAATGTAGTAAATTCAGCTTTACCCAGGGTGCACAACGGATTTTCTGCTACACTACACTCATGTAATGTCACTGAAATTTTGAGCAAACACCCGAAGTGTCCATTGGAATTACTTAATATCCTCTTCTGCTCATCGAGCCAAACAGTCAACATTCTGTTCTTTTAGATATATCTTACCCGGGCCTGAATGGCCGGCTGGCCACCGCTCTGGCGCTCGGTACCACAGATTTCTGGTTTGAATCCCGCGGGGCCTTGGATGTTTGTAGTGGTTCGGAATCCCCTTTAAACCGTAGGTTCCGGTCTAATAGGATCGTAGAGCGTTGCGGGGGCATTGTTATTCCGTATCCGTAGCTTATCTTCAAGCTACACTCACCCGCTGGGCAGTGCTAAGTGAGTAACGTCTGTGCAGCGTTTGTCTTAAGGCATCCAAGACAAGTGTCTAAGTGTTGGCCAGCTGCATTAGAAAAGAAAAAAAAAAGATAGATCATTCCCATCTTGGAAGATATACAGACTTATACGTATGCCATTTCAAGCATTATTGTATTCGATATGATTCATGTAATTCACAGATAGTTTTTATTTTCTCTTTTATGGTGCCAAAAAAATGTGGTCTTCTCACAGTAGCATTTAGCATGATCTAAATATTTGGAAAAGAACGAGACCAGTTATGTGGGCACACTGATCTAAATAGCTCGTTTTCACAAGATCAATTTTGCCGGAAGTGAAAGAAACTTGTCCTGGGAATGTATCGGTATACTGCGGTGGTCGTGATAAAAGATGTAGTTCACGCTTTCCCTTGCAGAACATCTGCTTTCTTGAGAATCTAGACTGATTATCTGTTATTTTAAAAACAATTTTGAAAACAAAATTCCTAAAAAAAAATTTTTTTTTTATTTTTCATTAAAATTTTTTAATTTTTTTAACATATTTCCTTTTAAAAAAATTTTGTACATTTTTTTCTTTTTAATTTTAATTTAAAATGAACAAAAATTCAATTTTTATTTCCTTTACATTTTTCAATTTTTTTTTTTTTCATTCACGTTTTCCAATTTTTTTTTTTTATTTCTTTAAAGTTTTCATTTTTCATTTCTTTATTCCCAATTTTTTAAAAAAAATTTTATTTTCCAGTTTTTTATTCATAATTTTCAAATTTTTTAATTTTAATTCGCATCATTCAATTTTATTCATTCTCATTTTTCAATTGTTTTCATTCACATTTTTCAATTTTTTTTTTTTTAATTTTTATTTCTTTAAATTTTTTATTTTTTATTTTTTTTATTCACAATTTTCAATTTTTTTAATTTTTAATTCACATTTTTCAATTATTTTCATTCACATTTTTTCATTTTTACCTTTAAATTAAATTATATTTTTCATGCTAAAGGATAATCTTTTTTATAGAAAAATTATATGAAATCTTAATTTCATTTGATTTCAATGCTCATTCAATTAATTCAATGATTTTATATTTTGAAATACATAATTATTTAATGTTTCTTAATGATTGAATTAATTACTTCATTATTTTTGTTTAGTGATTATTTATTTGTGTTTTTTTTTTTTATCTGTTGAAATGACCCAGACGGTTTAATCGTTAATTTATTAGATTTAATTTAAATAATTGTGCTTCTTTATTAATATTGGGTTTTTCTTTTCTTTTTCAATTGTAAGTCAAGGTCCCCGCGAAGTTGTGCCGGATCCCTTTCATTTCAAAAAGGTGAAATAAAACAATAAAATTTCTTCATTTCTTTCCTAGTTACTTTACTTTATTTTCCCCCTTCCTTCTTTAAAATTCAGAAGAAGAAAATTTTTTTTTTTTTTAACAATAAGTTTATTTAGTAATTTTTAGTAACAAGTATTCAACTTCAAAAACACTCATTATTATGATTGCTTTCCTCTTCAATTTATTTTTTGCAAATATTTTTATTATTATTCTTACAATTTTTTTGAAAGAATAATACTCATATATCAATATTTTTTTTAATATTCTTTGTAATTATTTTGTCACATTCAAAACAAATTATACGCGAAAACTTCATGTCCAGCTAATATTTAAAAGCATCTTCATTGTAGTCCAATAAAAGGAAAAAGTTGAAAATTACTATAATTTACCATATTTTATTACAGTCATTTTAGTTAATCAGATTATGAACAAGTTTTAAGTAATTCATTTCAAAGCTTTAATGTTTCTCATAAAGTTCATGTTTGCCAGAATTTCTCGTTAGATCACCGAAGTCAAGCATCATTGGGCGCGGTCAGTACTTGGGTGGGTGACCACCTGGGAACACCGCGTGCCGTTGGCATTCACAAATTTGGAACCTGAATGGCAGAGTGTAGAGCGCTATGGCACTCGGTGGCACAGGTTTCGGATCCGAGTCCCGGCGGTGCCATGGATGTTTGTAGTGGTTCGGAATCCACTTTAAGCCGTAGGTCCCGGTCTCCTATGACTGTGAGAGCGTCACGGAGCCAAAGTCAGACTTCTACCTACGAGGTGCTCCATCACAACACAAGCTGCTTCCTTCCCCTTCAATCATGAGTACGTATGGGCTCGTGGGCTTGGCCAGCCAAGTGGGATAAGAAACAACAACAAAAAACAACACAATTATTTTACATCTTACGCTTGACACAGAAAGTAATGACAACAGTAACAGAAATTTTTTTTTCATTACTGATTGAAAAATCCTACATTAATGTTAAAAAATCCCCACTAATGATCTAGAATTAACTTGTGCAGCTAACGTGCAGGAGTTGAAAGGTTCGAATCTACTATCAGACTCCCTTACAGTTACTTTTTCTTTTATGTTAAACTTATATATCCTTATAAAACCCTGATTCTGAACAGTTACCCCTAAAAGAACTCCTGGAAAAGCCAGAGAACCATTGTCCTCCACTTGTAGCCCATCGTGTGGTGAGTAGTTGTGCTTTTAGTTCACCAACTAAACTTGAATGTTGAATATATATGTTGTTGTTGTTGTTTCTTATCCCACTTGGCTGGCCAAGCCCACGAGCCCATACGTACTCATGATTGAAGGGGAAGGAAACAGCTTCTGTTGTGATGGAGCACCCCGTAGGTAGAAGTCTGACTTCGGCTCCGTGACGCTCTTACAGTCATAGGAGACCGGGACCTACAGCTTAAAGTGGATTCCGAACCACTACAAACATCCATGGCACCGCCGTGATTCGAACCCGAAACCTGTGGCACCGAGCGCCAGAGCGCTAGACACTCGGCCATTCAGGTCCCAAATTTGTGAATGCCAACGGCACGCGGTGTTCCCAGGTGGTCACCCACCCAAGTACTGACCGCGCCCAATGATGCTTGACTTCGGTGATCTAACGAGAACCGGTATATTCAGCATGGTATGGCCGTTGGCCCTAAAAAAGAATCGTCCAATGTGGGGCTCGAACCCACGACCCCGAGATTAAGAGTCTCGTGCTCTACCGACTGAGCTAGACGGGCTTTGAATATATATATATATTATATAATGTAATAAGAAACAGAAGTTTTTTTAAAAAATAAATATAATTGTTAAGTAAAAAGAAAAATAAATTTACTTTTTATTTAACACACAGTGTTATAAAAGGATTAATTATCGATTTTGATATCGGGGCGCATTAAAAAAACCTACAGATAATTGTTTGCGCACCATATACAAATTTCTAGCAAATGAACATTCACTACTGACTCCTAGCAATCTTATATCAGGATGGTCAACTCTACAGACTACTACTTAAAGACGGCAGAGTCCTAGAGGCTGCAATGGAAATATCTTTAAATATTAACTAACGCTCCTAGTACTCAAGCATGGAAATTCTGCTTCTAGTTCCTCAGTAAATCTTCTTTGGCTCATTGCTGTTATTTGGCGATATTTTATGTGAAGGAAAAAAAAGAAAAACACAGAAAGGGTAGTTGTTTGAAGTTGTTGTTGTTAGTAATGAAAGCTGTCCTTAAATAAGAAAATCGACAAGAAAAAAAAGTAACTGTATTTATTTCCATATTTGGGTGCATATTTCTCTGGAATATGTACATAGGACGTTTATGTATTCTGGATATAGTGCAGAATTCTCTGTACTCTTTCTTCCCACCATGAGGGGCCTGATGGCCGAATGGCTAACGCTCTGGTGTTCGGTACCACAGGTATCGGGTTCAAATCCCGGCTTTGCCATGGATGTTTATATTAGTGGTTCGGAATCCACTTTAAGCCGTAGGTCCCGGTCCTAACAGGATCGTAGAGCGCTGCGGGGGCATTGTTACTCAGCGTCCGGGGCTTATCATCAAGTTACACGCGCCCCCTGGTAATGCAAAGTGAGTAACATCGGTGCAGCCCTTATGGCGAAGATCACGGTCTGTTTGCCAGCTGCATTAGAAGAAAAAAAAATCTTTCTTCCCACCATTTGACATCTAATTTATATGCACAAATATTCTGATTAAATTGTTTTGGAAATAGAAAATATCAATCAAATTTGAATTTTATTTTATCGACATTTTAACAGATTCGTACACAAATGCATAGACTCTAGAGCTAATAGCAAGCCAACCATGAAAGTTGTCGTTCCTTAATTTCTTGGAAACCTTCTTTGACGCATTTTTGCTGTTTGGCGACTTTCTAGGTGAAAAGAAAACAGAAAGGTCAGTTGTTTGTAATGAAAGACATCTTTGACTGGGGGAAAAGATATCGTTTATTACAAACAATTAAACAAGAAAAAGAGTAACTGTAATTACTATTTTTATCTGTGCACATATGTTTCTGGAATATCTCAGGGTGATCTCTCTTTGAGAACCACTGATGTAGGTTCACTCAAGGTTTACCTTATTTTCATTGTGCTATGAATTTTTGTCGCTCATTTAATTTTATTTAGATTTTTACTATTATCTACGACAGGGGTGGCCAAACAGCGATCCGCCTTGAATATTTTTCCGGCCGTGAGATTTATCACACTTTTATAAAATACATTTATTTTATAATGGCCAAAGTAGTGAAAACCAATATATTAAAAAATACATTATGTGTGCATCCCTATATTCAAAAATTAACTGTCGAAATTATGAGAAAAAATGAACTTTGATTTTAAAATATTATTCTTGCGCATATATGGCAGATATTGCCTGCTTTATTTATGAGTTTCCAGTTATGAGTTCGCAGAATAATTAAATTATATTCTGCGAACTCATGATGCGCACCCATCTCGGATCATCTAATATGTGCCACTTTAAGTGACTTTAGTAACGCATTGATCCTCCTTAGATACGCGTAGTTGTGCTTTTAGTATCATTATTATTATATTATCTAGGTTTACATGTAAGAGTAATAGTAAACACAAAAAAAAAATTTCTTATTTCTTTTAAATTTTTCACTCCAAAAAATGTCTCTAGTGGATCTAAATCTAATATGGGGATACATAATTTTATATGCTGCCAGTGGAGTTAGGATGCATTTCCATAGTGGCCCGCAAGATCATTTGGGTTGGCCACCTCTGCTCTATGACATTAAATTGAAAATGATGATAGGACATATTTCTCACTCAATTTTAAAAAATTTATATTTTGTATTCAAAAATTAAACAATAGAATCTTGGCCATACTTAATTTCCAAAATTTTAGAAGTGCGGATCATAGAATATCCACGTGCGTCTTATTGTTCTGTTACAATTCCCAATTACGTGCTGGAACTCCTTGCTTGCATTTCATTAACATTGAAGCTTCAAAGCTCGAACAAGACTTGAAAATCTTCCACAGTTTATAACAAAACCTGTTTCACTCTAATTTGCAAATAACGAATATCCAGGAAAGGCAGGAAAGTATGCACGTGAGTTGAATGATTTTCATGGTAAGGTCTTTTCTGCATTTTAAACTCCTACAACATTCGACCTGTTCAGTTTATTTAAATTGCTTTCATATAGCACTGCTCTATGCTAAAGGATTCACTGAGAAGACAAAGTAACTGCATCTGCAGAAATTGCCCTGCTTTTAATTCAAGTTCAAAATTGCTTCCTGTGTAAAATTCACTTTTGTGCTTTTAAGTACTCCAACTTAAGTTGAATGTTTAATATATATATATATATATATATATATATATATAATATAACATAATATATACATATACATATTTATATATATATATAACATATGTATTTCATATTATTCCTTTGAATAAAATAAATATAGTGACTATGACCCTATCCAGAAAAGTATGTTGAACTTACCGTCCTATCTTTGAGCCTCTTTGACATCAGACAAACTGTTAACTTGGCTCACTTCATTAAAATATACAATTTTTTCAATGGTAGTCGGAAGTCTATAAGTTAAGTTATATAAGTTATTATCTCTCTCTCTATATATATATAAGTTTTTTTTTTCCTTATTTCCAACTATAAGTTTAGAAAATTAGTATTTGTGTTTTATATACGCCAATACTAATTTTCGAGATATGCATCTTTCTGTATTAAATCCAACCGTTTCAACCTGTATAGAGAGAAGGTTTCTGTGAAAAGGTGGATTTTCCTATTGCACAAGTCAACAAGAATTCCCAGTTCCTTGCCTGCTTTAGACGTGTGGGCCAAAATCACCTGTATAACATAGAATAGGACTGTCTGCTACAGATATCTGCCCACTTTGCGACTTTGGCGTGCCCCTGACTGCACAGTACCTCATCATATGCCCTACTGTTCTTAACTGTATCCCATTTTGTGTTACTGTCAATGCCTTTAGAGATTGTTCTGGAAGTGGATGTCTTCTGTATTGTGCTGCTCGTCGATTAATGATCGAGAGGTCGGAGGCGGGCATAGGAAAAAAATACGCCAGTAGCTTGTAAACAAAAAGATGTTGACAACTAGAAGCCTATAAAAGAACAAAATATAAAAATTACAGCAATAAGATATGCATGGAAACAAGAAAAAACTTTAATGAATATTCCAATTATAATTTTATATATTTTACTAATAGAATTCCTTAGAATTCCATTTATATTCTTAAGAATTCCTGAATAGAAATTTACGATTTAGAACCTAAAAAGTTGTCAGAGCTTTATCTGCATTCAAAACCAATTTTCATTAATCTCTTTTAACTTAATCTAACAATTCTATCCTAAAAGCGCTGCAAACTATATGCAGTACGTTTAACCCATAAAATTATGGGTATTGTTTTCGAGAACTGAATTTTTTCGTTTCCTTGTTAAGTTTTTTTCGTGTCCATCACCACTTTCAACGTTTCTTATTCATTAAGCTCCTTTTAATTTATTCAAGGAACTACTGATTACTACTGTTTATTTAAATTTATTTCGCGAGCTTTTCTTAAACATAATA